AAATTATTTCATTCTTCGTGCAGACTTATTATTTGGTATTATATCTAGCACTGAATTTAATGTTCCCGTAATCAAGTAATAGATTTATTTGTGCTCCGAGTGTGCATGCATGTAGACCTTAGCATCGTGTAAAAATTGGATTTTGTTTAATCTTTTGAAAGATGTATAGAGATTTTTCATATGATTCTTGAGATACGTATCTATGACATCGAGCATGGAAATTCTCGAATAAAATAAAGTTTTGCATATTCAACTGAATGAGTGAACCTTTGGTAATTAAAATAACAAGAAGAACGAAGGCAGGCCCATGTCCCCTTCCATGCTCCATTTGTCTTCTCTTATTTTCAGTGCTACTTATAATTTAATTAATAATTGTGAGCTACTTTTTAAAGCTTCGAAACAGCACACCATAAAAGGGTTTAGAATAAGACGACAACATGACTCCAAAATCCACCAGCTTTTTCATTATTTTACACTGTATGTTACCTGTCCATCATGTGTGCTTGTCTCCACGGAAAATTACTTATTTTCCATATAATTATAAGTAATAATTTGCTCTTTTCTCCACTATATAATGCCTTGTGATGTGCAGTAGTGATTGAATACTTGAGTGCCTTGCAGATTTGTTTGTAGCTAGCTAGGTTTTCATTGCTCAATCACGAGAGAGAGAGAGAGATTGTGGGTGTGGGTGTGATGATCAATGAAGAAGGAAAAGAGGCGTTTGGAATGAAGACTGTTCCAAGATTTATTCATTGATTCCATGCATGGAGTGATGATGATATATATCTCGGACCAGGCTTCATTCCTCACGCCCTACTTTCCACAGACACACAAAACAACTTATAGACTATAATCTGCTTATAATCAGATTAATTTAGTAAGAAATTACAGGTAAATACATCTCTTATCTTCAAGTTTTTCATTTTCTGATGACGAAAGATGAATTTTCTGCAGATTATCTCGTGGCTCGTGCTTCGTCCCCCAATTCCTTTGTGTATTTCCTTGTGCATGTTTGGTACACAAATAATCTTGTGCGCCCTGGCCTTCTTTTAATTTGTTTGCTCGGTTAGTTTGTACGAAAATTTTTAGGATGTCTAGTGTTGTAAATTTGATATTATCATTAACGTTTGATTTTCTTTTGAAGTAATATTTGACACAATTATGTGCCTTTTTTGCTATGATCTGGTACTCTTAGTCTTTGTTGGTCTCCGTTGGCTGCTATATGGGGTGGGTCGACTTGACTATTTGACATCATTGACCTAGTTTCCAATGTTTAACCTTTGTGGTTAGTTCTGTGTACACCTAGGTACTCAACCTTTTGGGTTAGGTACGTGGTCCGATCCGATCCGATCCGATCCGATCGGATTGACTAGGCATCCATTCTATATTTGCTTAGGCTTCTTCGGTTGGCCTAGTCATTGTAGGCAATAGTCAGATTTTTGGTCGCTCGAGTTCCAGTTGTGGGCCAGGTGGTGAACCCTATGTAAAATTTTGAAATTTTCTTTAAATTTATGTAAAAATTATTAACTAAGATGTATATTTTGCCCTATCAACATTTTTTTTTGTCTCTCCATTTTCACGATTTTGACTTTGACGTCATTGTCGAGTTCCATATGTTACATTTGGATAATTAGTAGATTTCTATTTACTAAGTGATGTTAGTTGCATCATAATTATAATGTTTTGATTTTAGGCATTAAATGGTATATATTTCATACAAAATGGCACAGAAATTAATAAATGAACTCCAATGCCACGAAAACGAGAAAAAGGGAAGAAGAGAAGAGAAAGACGAGAGAAATAGAAGAATGTAGATTGACTAGAGAGAGCCGATAAGAACGGAGATAAGAGAGAAGCAATTTAGAGAAAGGAAATACCAATTTATTCAATAATTAAGTTTAAATATTATAATGCATAAACACTTTCAATAGGATTTCAACTTTGAAGTAAACTAATTTAAATAAGAAAGCAACTAAAAATAAATAAATACTAGAATCCTATAAAATAAAACCCTAAATTTTTTTTCT